GAAGGAAGGAAAAAGGGAAGGGAAGAGACATGAGTGAGGAAGTAGGGAAAGGAAGGAAGGAAAAAGGGAAGGGAAGAGACATAGGTGAGGAAGTAGAGGAAGGAAGGAAGGAAGAAAAAAGGAATGGAAGAAGACGAGTGAGGAAGTAGAGGGAAAGGAAGGAAGGAAAAAGGGAAGGGAAGAGACAAGGGAGAGGAAAGAGGGAAAGGAAGGAAGGGAAAGGGGAAGGGAGGGGGGAGGAGGGGGGGGGAGGGGGGGGGAGGGAAGGGAAGGGAAGGGAAGGAAGGGAAAAAAGGGAAGTCAAGAGAGACGAGTGAGGAAGTGCAGCGGAAGGAACGGAGGGCCCAAAGCGAGGAAGACAGGATTGGGAAGGAGAAGAGAAGGGAAGGGAGGAAGACGACGAGGAAGGAAACGAGGCTGCCCCCCCCCGGCCAACCAGGACGCTCTCGAAGACGAATCCAGAGCCGGCCTCCACCCCAAGGGACGCCCCCCCCCTCCGGGGAGAGAGAGAGAGAGAGAGAGAGCCACCGAGCGCTCGCCTCCGTCATCGCTTCACTCCGCCTCCCCTCCAGGCTCCGTCCCGCTTCTGTCCCTCCCCGCGCGGGTCCCAAAGGCCGTGGGGAGGGGAGGGGAGGGGAGGGCTGACCCCCTACCTGCCCACCTGCCCACCTGCCCCTCGTGCGGGTGCCTGGGCAAGATTGAGCTGGCCGGGGGGAGGGGGGTGGCTGGCTCTCGTCGGAGGGGCTGAGCCCGGGCAGGCCGGGGGGAGGGGGGGGGAAGGAGCTGGTCGGGTGGGGGAGGTGGTATGAGCCCCTGCCCGTCCCGCGCCCGCCTCGCCTGGCCCTCCAGCCGCCGCCACCGCCGCCGCGCCCTTCCTGGGCCCCGGGCTTCCAGGCGGGTCGGTGGGAGCGATGCCCCCGCGATGCCAGGGGGGTCCTGGGCCGGGCAAGGGCGTTTGAAGGGCCCTCTTGAGCGCCATGGACGTGTCGGCCGCCGCTGAGACCCCGGAGGCTCCGGAGACCCCCGGCTGCAAGGCGCCCCCTCCTCCTCCTCCTCCCTTGCTGGATGGCGAAGCCGGCGGCCGCCTGCCCAGCGACGGCTCCTCGCAGCCGCCTACTCGCAAGGGCTCCGCGGCGGCCAAGGGCGAGATGGCGCCGGCCCGCGTGGCCGAGCAGATCGTGGCCGCCGACCTGGCCTCGGCGGCGGCGGCTGCAGCGGCCGCCTCGTCTTCGGGGAGCCAAGAGCCCGGCGGCACCTTCGTGCAACGCCAACTGGGCGCCCTCCTCCAGCCGGCCGTCAACAAGTTCTCCCTCCGCATGTTCGGCAGCCACAAGGCGGTGGAGATCGAGCAGCAGCGGGTCAAGTCGGCCGGCTTCTGGATCATCCACCCTTACAGCGACTTCAGGTAAAGGACTCCACGGCCCATGCGGCACTCCCCGGGGGAAAGACCCCTCGCGCCGGCCTGTTGGGGTGTCCCCCCCCCCGACTGTTGGTGGGCTGGGCGCGAAAAGAAACCGGCTGGGCGGCTGTCCGTGGTGCTGAAAGTCCTTCTTAGAAGAAATAGAATGGAATCCGAGCGAAACAGATCATCAGAGTTGGAAGGGGCCTTGGAGGTCATCTAGTCCAACCCCCCCCCGCCCAAGCGGGAGACCCTAACACCATTTCTGACAGATGGCAGTCCAAATCTCTTCTTGAAAGCCTCCAGGGATGAAGCTCCCACAACTTCTGAAGGCAAGCTGTTCCATGGGTTGGTTGCTCTGTCAGAAAGTTTCTCATTATTAATTGGAAGGGGCCTTGGAGGTCATCTAGTCCAAACCCCCCCCTGCCCAAGCGGGAGACCCTAACACCATTTCTGACAGATGACAGTCCAAATCTCTTCTTGAAAGCCTCCAGGGATGAAGCTCCCACAACTTCCGAGGGCAACTTCTGTTCCATGGGTTGGTTGCTCTGTCGGAAAGTTTCTCCTTATTATTAGTTGGAAGGGGTCTTCTAGGTCATCTAGTCCAACCCCCTGCCCAAGCGGGAGACCCTACACCATTTCTGACAGATGACAGTCTAAATCTCTTCTTGAAAGCCTCCAGGGATGAAGCTCCCACAACTTCTGAAGGAAAGCTGTTCCATGGGTTGGTTGCTCTGTCGGAAAGTTTCTCATTATTAATTGGAAGGGGTCTTGTAGGTCATCTAGTCCAACCCCCTGCCCAAGCAGGAGACCCTAACACCATTTCTGACAGATGGCAGTCCAAATCTCTTCTTGAAAGCCTCCAGGGATGAAGCCCCCACAACTTCCGAGGGCAACTTCTGTTGGTTGTTCTGTCAGAAAGTTTCTTATTATTGATTGGAAGGGGCATTGGAGGTCTTCTAGTCCAACCCCACCCACCCCCCACCTCAGCCAGAACCCTTGTACCATTTCAGACAAAAGGTTGTCTAATTTCTTCCAGTGTTGGAACATTCTCAATTTGTGGAAGAAAGTCCTTCCACTGGTTAACTGTTCTCACAGTCAGGAAATTTTAATTCCAGGTTGCTTCTCTCCTTGACGAGTTTCCATCCGTTGCTTCTTGTCCTGCCTTCTTTGGTGCTTTGGAAAAATAGCTTGACTCCCTCTTCTTTGGGGCAGCCCCTCAAATCTTGGAACTCTGCTATCACGTCCCTCCTAGTCCTACTGTTCATTAAATTAGACACCCCCAATTCCTGCAACCGTTCTTCAAATGTTTTAGCCTCCAGTCCTCTAATCCTCTTTGTTGCTCATCTCTGCATTCTTTCTAGAGTCTCAACCTCTTGTTTTTTTACATCATGGTAACCAAAACTGATGCAATATTCCAAGGGTGGTGTTACCAAGTCTTATAAAGTGGGAGGTTTTTTTTTTGCTCTTGGTGTGACCTCCTTACTGAAGGCACTACAATTCCCATGGGTCACACCTCAGGCAAGGCAGAGGAGCCGCCAGACTGGGAATGGCTTGTTTGAAAATAATATTCATTGGAAAATTATCCAGCCTTCTTTCTCCTTTCTGTCGTTAAGCTAGGTGATTGTTGAGCAAGCTGCGCCTTGGTCTAGGGCCTTTCTTGCCATGGTTGTTAAGCGAATAACTGTCATTAAGTGAATCAAAGAAAGAAGAGAGGGAAAGAAAGAAAGAAGAAAGAAAGAAAGAAAGAAAGAAAGAAAGAAAGAAAGAAAGAAAGAAAGAAAGAAAGAAAGAAACAGAGAAAACAGGAAGGAAGGAAAAGACAGAGGGAAAGGAAAGGAAGAGAGAAAGAGAAAGAGAGACAGAACAGGAAGGAAGGAAGGAAGGAAGGAAGGAAGGAAGGAAGGGAGGAAAAAAGAAAGAAAGAAAGAAAAGACAGGGAAAGGAAAGGAAGAGAGAAAGAAAGAGAGACAGAACAGGAAGGAAGGAAGGAAAAAGAAAGAAAGAAAAGACAGGGGGAAAGGAAAGGAAGAGAGAAA